TTTTTTTTTTCATTTCTAACTGTTTTCATTTTTATTAATCCCTCTTCTCTCCTCAGCTGCTGCGGAGCCGCTCCCTCTGTGAGCCTTTGAACCAGAGTAAAGTTTATGGCAGATAATCCAGCAGCGCAGACACTGAGGTGAAGTCGAGCGACACGACACGACACGACACGACACGACACGACACGATACAACCGTGAGATTAGGAAGATTAGGAGATTAGGAAACTTTCACACTGAGAGGTGAATTTAAAATGAAGCAGAGAGAGAAAAAATCCACATGAAGGATTTCTTTTGTCGGTGAAAAATGAAGAAATGGAAATGAAGATTTAAAAATGTGTTTTCATGTATGTTTTATGTAAAATATGCAAAAACAAACAGTCAAAATCATGAATAAAATATAATATTTTTCATTTGTATTTTGTTACTTTGGTGAAGAAGTGTTTAAGCTCCATGAAGTACTACATGAAGTACTACATGAAGTACTACATGAAGTACTACATGAATCACGGAAGTGAATGAAATCAGTCCTGAACCACTGCTCTGGTTTCTGTTCTCGCTCAGACTGAATGAGATCTGGTGTAAATCTGACACCACTGAGCCACAGGCCTGAACCGTAACAACAAACGCATCTGAGAACGTAAGAAATAAAAGTTTTGGTGTCGAACGTTTCCTGATTTTCAACAGAAAAGTCAAGTATCATTCAATAAAAACCCTTCACTCACACATGAAGAAGCTGCGCTCAGGTCCAGACCGACCTCGTCCAGGATCCTCTCTGAGCCGGGCTCTGACGTCCGGGGGCGTCGGCCTCGTCCCACACCGAAGAGAAGTGTCGGAATGGAACCTCTGACTGGACAAAGGAGGGTCCGGGTCGGTGGTCTGTGCGGAGGCTTCAGGTCTGTCCAGGAAGTGCTGCGATCTCGCCGCTGCGTAACGGCCCGGGCCTTGAACAAACACTGCAGTGATCTTTGGACCTGGATGGTGAGCAGGTGAACGGCCGCGGCCAATCAGGAGGCAGCGACTTGGTGGTTGTCAGATATGGAACACACCCTGTGATGGCAGAAGGTCAACATTTCTTATCTGTCTCATATTTAATGTGTGCTCAGCAGCTGAACGTCAACGTTTATGTTTTTATTTTTTAATTTTCAGCCGTGATTATTATCACTGTTGTTGTTGTTGAAGTGAGAAAACGACAGAAAAACACTGAGAGACGAAGGTGTTTCACAGGTTCATCAACGCAAACTGTCGACCCAGTTAATTATTTAGATGTGTGGGCGGTTAAAAAAAATGATGTCACCACAAAAGGTCTGAGGTTCGATATCCAACTGCTTCTAACGTTTGTGTAGAACAAAGACTCGGCTCTGTGGACGAGAAGAGAAGACACTGAGGACAGATGTCTGTCTGAGTGAACGTGGACAACCTGCACCTTTGGATCAGTGGAGATCTGGTGGGTAACACAACAGGTCGTCTGAGGAATCAAACCAGTTTTGACTAATAATTATTTTTACCCTTTCTTTTTGCAAAATCATCATCAGGTCGTCACAGCCAACGATGCTAACGCTACTTCTGACTGTTCTGACATGAGCCGCAAACCACGTGTTTGGCCACTGTAAATGATTTGTCATGTAATATACTATAACGGTGGCTTCACGTGTGTCCAACGTGTCATCAACGCTGTGGTGGCAGAAAGACTTGGCTCTGACTCTGGGGTTTTCCTAGGACCGTGAAGGCATCGCTGGCTACAAACCGTAAATACACTGATGCACATTTTCTCAACACGTCTGAAGAAGGAAACGAACACGACACCGTTGGACATTAACAAGGAAATGACCGCGTCACACTGGAAAAAATAAAAACACACTTTTCAACATCGCAAAGACTTTATACAAAATTCAACATTTAAAATGTGCAGCGGACGTGAAGACAACACAAAGAAACGGCACAGACGTCCAGTGACCGTTGGAGTGAATCAGTGAAAATACAGAACATGAAGAAAGTCCGTTGGCACATGAGACGTGAGAAGAACAGAACATGTTTAAATCCACGAAGAAAAACTACAAACGCTTCGTAGTTTTGTGAACGTTCACGTGTGACGGTGGTGAAAAATGTGCAAATGGAAACACGGTTACGATAGATTTCAAATTCCCTCAAAACAATCGTAAAACTTCAACATAGTTTCAGAAGTTATGAAACAAACACAGCACAGATTTGATGTTTTCCAAAAAAATATTCACAACTAAGAAATGAATCAAATACACAGGAAAAAAAAAGTTTATATTTCATTGTTAAAACTTTTTTAAAAAAACGTGTCAGGGAAAAGGAGAGTGCTCCTGATTGGCTCCTCAGAGTCACATGACCTGATGGGCTCAGGACTGATTTGTTGTTTTCCACACAACATAAGGCCACAGAGAAACTGGACACACGTCGGTGACTCCTTGTTGCCGTAGTTACTGAAACCAATGTAAACAACTGCGTCTGACGTTTGATTAAAAAAAAAAAAAACATTTTAACATTTTGGCCTCACAGGAACGACTCTTTAATTCTGCGCTAAAAATGCACACACACACACACACACACACACACACACACAACAGTCAACAACGAAGGCGTCAATAAATAGATATAAAAATAAATAAATAAAACCACGGCCGTTGAAGCAGCTCAGGAATAAATATGAACAACAGCCACAGAAGGAGAATGAAAAATGGAAGTGAACCCACAACCCCACTCCGACCTCGCCCCCCCCCCCCACACTGTAAAAGTGAAGCTGTGACAGTCAACACTGTCCATTTTTCTTTGATGACTATTTTCCTCTAAATGGGAT